CTCCAGCAGGTAAAGGGGGAATGATGGCTCTTGACCTCCCACTAGATGGTGCCGCACCTCTCTACGGCTTAACACTGTATAACTCATTTCAAATAATTTTATACGGCATCTTTTATGCTTGGATTTAGGCGACCCATTAAATTGAGAGTTTTGCATTTTGTCTCTAAGTCCTCCTGCTCAGATGAGTTCAGGATTGACAACAAATCACAATACTTGACCTTGTCCACTTGAGGCTCAGACTGACCCCTGAACTGAAGGAAGGAGGCAACCTTTTCCAGTTGAAACCCAGAATTACTGTGAAGGTAATTCCTTGAAGACATGGACAGAAATGCATCTTCAACAAGATGAAGAGCCCAACTTCACCTTAATATTTGGCAACGAACACCTCAAACAAGGGTAGATGGCCTTCAGTAGAGGAAATCGGCTAGACTTCTTGCTAGGAGCTGGGTATGCAGCTCTTCTTTTGGGGATGTAGAGCCTGGAAGGCACAGGAAAAAAAAGTTTGCAATAGTTAAAATTTACCTTGTGTGAATAAGATCTTTTTGTATTCATAAATCACCTTCAATGTGGTGAAATAGCTTCTTATAAACTGTGATATGACGGGGGTTTTATGTTGCAATACAAAGTCTTTTGATGTTTCTAACAACGGAAATCTTTTAATGTTCTATTCAGTAAAGAGATTTTTATGTCCTAACAGTGATAGCTGAATAGTTTTAGTGGCACTTTGGGCCAAGTGGACTTATCTCTGCTCAGTCACTGTTGCGGTCACGCAGGCTCAGCTCTGTCTGCAGTCCTTTCTTTGGTAAGAGGAAAGGAATGCCTGAGAGTCCTAGTAGTTTACCGATGGGCGCCGATTTCACTCCCTGCAACTTTGACTACAGGAAGCCCATGAACACAGACTGTGGTTTTTCTGCTATGTTCTCATTACAAAAATGTTCCCATTACACTTCCACAAACCCAGAGAGGAAGACATGGGAGCGGCGGAGCGCGTTTCCTCAACAGCGTGTGTTTGTCTTCACGATGCCAGTGCGTCATTACAGATGCCAACTTTGTGACACTGGGACCACCTGCAGTCATTAATTCATCATGACTCCTCAACCGTTGCCCTCCCTTCTGTAAAGTGAAGTCTCTCTACACTTTGCTCACAACGCACCCTGTCACCTTTTGACTGGTCGGCATGCTGGCCGCAGCTATCCGGCTGGTGCTGAACGCTGTCCAGACAAAAGGCTCTTGCTGTGATTTGAAAACTCATTTCCATTAGGAAGAATGAAGCCTGTGCAGTGTGACCGAGGACATGACCTTTTATTAAATGAACAAATGCATTTGGGTTACTGGCCTTTAAAAGTTAAGGTAATTATTTAACGTATGGAGCTGCTGTAAATCTGTTTTTGTTGCTAATTCTGTGCTGGCATCAGGAAAAGCTGCTGGTTTCAGACAGCACATGAGTTTATTTGTTGCTCGAAGGGCGCGACTCCTCTGTGAGCCGTGCAGCGACCCAGATTTACTGCCTCGTCGAAGGAGTTACTGAGCCGCGTCATACATAAAAGACTTCACTAAGCTAAACTAATGGTCGCCTGCATTAGTATGTCATAGCCTGGCACCAGAAGGAGAAATATGTCTTTTACAGAGCTGAAGAAAATCATGGTCTTGTTCTTTATTTGGTTCACAATCTAATTTTAATTATTTAGATTGTGAGCAAGTATGTTATCTTAGTCTGTGATAACCTTAAAGTATGACATTTTCAAAAATGTGCTATGTGATGTAAAGGGTTTTATTTCAAACAGAAAAGCCCCATGTATTCCTCCTGCTTGTAGAACCATACCATATATTAATTATTATAGTTAGGCTGGTATTTATAATGTTTACTATGATCTTAATTTTGATAAATAGAGCTATTGTTGAGTCAAGACCAAGATGCTGAGGGAGACCCGACTTACTCCATGAACCAACGAGAGACCATTTTCAAGACCAGTGCTGCAATCATAATAATATAGTTGTTGCTGCCAATGTAAAATAACATGTCAGCAAGCTCGGTTTGCAAACTAACCTACAACATGTGAACTATTTCAGAGCATATTCATCCAGCTAAATGTTAACTGCTGGCAAATTAAATGAAGTTGGGGCAGTAAAATTGTTGAGATTGAGACAAAACTAAGACTAAATATGTAGTCCGAACATTAGTCATCAGGCCAAGACCGAAAAGATGATTTTTGTCATTAGTTAATTTGTTGGAAGATCTTTTAGCTAGCCTGCAACCAGCTGCTTAACATGCACGCAGCTGCTGTCTTACTGTTTAAAACTGTGTCACCAGAGGAGTGATGGTGTTGGTCCTCTGATCCTATGACTGCCTACAATTTTCAAACTTGTTAGTATTTCCAAAATGTCTATTTTGTTAAAATATAAGATTCTCTTTTAGCTATCTAATAAGTGGTAGCAACAGGCAGGGGAGGTGCAGAAAAGGTTAAGCAGTTTAGAACTCCATTATAAGTGAAATTAATAGAAATTAACACATACAAATGATGCAAAGGAAATTTCTTTACTACACTTTTATCCAAAACATTAATATACTTTAATGCCGTTAACCGGTCGATCCCAAATGGTCTTTCACAGGTACAGTTTTGCTTGAATAAATTACTGAAATTGTAATTATAGTTGGTTTTTTTCTTAATCAGGAGAGAATGTACAATAATTTCATGCACCTTGTTCACTTAGGTTTTTATTACCTGGTCTGGTCATACTCTCCTGGGAGTCTTTCAAAGATGGCCCCAGTGCAGCTCCACTGGAGCAATTGGAGGTTAATTGTCTCTTTCACTGCTGTCTTTGCTGTACTGTCATTACAGCTTTTTGTCTCTTACTTTTGCCTTTCTTTAATCCACCACAACCATGTTTTATGTCCTCTGTTTTTCTCTGTTTATGTAAGATCTAATCTCAACTCTTTCTGCTTTCTAATGTGGTTACAGTCTGCATCACAATCTAAATTTCTTGTTTAAATTAATTTAGATTATATTTGGACTTTGTGTCTGTGTAATAATAAAATCTAATCTAATCTAAAAAAAACATTTTTATGACGACTGAAGGTAACATAGTTACTTAATTGTGCTTTAAAATGGGACTATTTATGTTGAATACACATAATACTGTTGCTTTAAAATTTGCTCACTTACTTATGCATAGCTAATAGGGCTGATCTTAATCAGGATGTTTTCTCTATCATTTGGGAACCTGATGACAGCCATGGAAACCGTCTGAGGCGGGCATGAACTGTTGGATATGTCGCATCTCCTGTGGCTTCCTTCACTGCACAGTAAAGAGTAATTTATATCACGGTGCTGATTTAGCTTTTACTCTAGAAGAGTACATAATTTAGCAGCGCACATTGGCCTCATTCTGACACTCAGGATTTTTCTCCCAGTGAATTTCAGACATCAGTGACTATGGATGTTTAATGGCAGCAATTGGCTCTTTAAAGTTTCCCCTGTGGCGCAGCTGCTTCATCCGGATGGCACGCTGTTCAGAACTAGCACAGCCTGGTAAATCTCCTACATAAATCGGTTTGTTTTCTTAAGCTGGTTAGATACATTTACATATTTGTAATGCTTAAAATTAATTAATATGAAGCCCCTCAGTCTGTTGCCACAGTCTCTTAGAGGAATGCTAAACAGCTCTCTGCCCCAGAAATGTGCCAATGTTGGCAGTTCTTGCTTTCTCAGTAAGAGGATGTTCTGCAATGTGTCTATCAGTGACAGACCCCTCCACTGGGGGATAGGATTTTCACTCCAAACTGGGCCATTTGTTCGGGGATTGTGCGCGTGTATATTGTGTTTACTGAAACTGTGTTACCCTGTTGATCAGGAAGATGCTCTGTCTATTTCCTGACACAGCCTGTCTGTCTGCCTCTCGCTTTGTGGGTTTGATGATGATGCGGGAATGTGATGCACGCACACTGCTATCTTTGTCCTGCTTTAGCTGCTTTGTGCCTGAATGCTCCACGTGCGCAGCGACCGCTGTCATCCTTTGAAACAAGCGCTTCCCTTGTGTCGGTGCTGCTGTTTGCTGATGGTCCCTAAAACAAACAATACAGTATTTTCAGGCAACATTCAGCTCATGCCAGGCGTCAGTAAATACTCTTTATGTTTCAGAGGGCTCTGGAAAAGGTTTCATCCTCGTGACCCACATTGATGCTTTTTGAAATGCCAAAGTTGAGCTCTTCTATAGTCATGAATGACAGCAACACACACAACCAGGCAGATGTGATGCTGTCTGAATGGAGAACAATCTGTGACTGGGCCACAGAGATCCTAGTGCTGATTAATGCAGCTATGAATGTGACAAACTCTCTATTCATGACTCCTGCATAGCTGAACGCTGATACTAATAATCTTTTGTTTTCAGTGTCAGAACGTTCTTGAAAGTTCCCAAAACCTCATTTAAGAATAGTGGCAGATTATTTTAAGGAGATCTTGAATAGTTTATGTAACGGAGAAAAAGAAAATCGCACATGTATCTGATCTTTCGCATTAAGTAACATTCTGGATATTTCAGATTACATTTTGGAAAAAAAAAATACACAAAATGTCACACTATTCCTCTGTTTTTGGATGATTTGAAGGTTTTCTTATTTTCTTCTTTTTTGATCAGTCAACTTTTATCTGTAGAACTTTTCATGCAGACAAGTTTAAAAGAAACGCATAAAACAACGAGATATTAATAAACACAGTCAGCATAAAAAAGTTGAAGAAATAAAATGACAGTGGATGAGTTATTAATAAAACTGTGTAGTAAGAAAAACTAAAATTTATATATTTATATATATTTGAATTTGACATTTTTCTTTCAATGCATTTCATATCGTCAGTGTAATTTATCTTTACCTGCTTTTTCTTTTTCTTGAAACTGCTTTCAGTTACCTTATGCATGATGTACAAATGAACATGCTTGCTTTTTAAACTGCACATTATGGGCTTGATTAAACGCTTAATATTTTTGATTTTGTGTTTCAGGTGTGCAGACAACCAAGAAGTCTGGAATTCCTGCTCCGAGAGAAATCTCCTCCTCTATTACAAGAGATCGGGTTTCCCTTAGAGATCAGCTGAGGAGTTCCTCTACTAAGAGAATCGTTACCAGTTCCAGCACCTCCAGCCTCTCCACCCTGGCAAAGCAGACGCGTAGCTCGACCAAGTCCCGTGCGGATGCGGAGAGCCAGGAAAGGGGCCTGCTGGAGAGCCAGGTAAAGGAGCTTCTCGCTGAAGCTAAGGCGAAGGACTTGGAGATCGACAATCTGAGGACAGAGCTGCAGCACTGCAAGAGTAAAACCTCCTCCTTCCCTTCTACCAGCTCGGTTTCAGACCAAGCGCATGCTGCTGATGATGAGCAGGGGCAGGTGGCTGAAGCCCTGGTCCTGGTTGGGGAGCTGAGGGAGAAGAACGGGAAATTCCAGAGAGAGCTAGCAGCACTACGAGAAGAAAACCAGACATTGAAGGAAAAGCTGATTTGCTTGGAGGCGTCTCCTCTTTCTACTAAAAAGACGAGCTCGTCCGTTACCTTGGTGAATGGCGTCCCTCCAGACCCTTCAGCTTCCCAAAAGGACAAACTCGTCCCCACTGCTAGCCCACTCAAAACCTCCGTCTCCTCCAGCTCCGACATCACCAAGGATTCACCATCGCCAGACTCCTCGGAGTTTGAGAAGCTCCCATCGCGCTCCGAATCAGGCAGCAGCTGTGTCAGCGGCGATGACGCCACGCCAAACAGGTCAGGGGGTCAGGATGCGTCCGTGCAGAGACTAACAGAGCAGATCCACAAGATGGAGGAAAGCCATCACAGCACAGCGGAGGAGCTGCAGGCCACACTGCAGGAACTGGCCGACCAGCAGCAGATGGTGCAGGAGCTAACCGCTGAGAACGAGCGCCTGGCGGAGGAAAAGCGCCTTCTGCAGACGTCGCTTCAGCAGCAGAGAGAACGTCTGGAGGTGATGGCTCAGAAGAACGAGACGCTTGCCGTCAGAGTCCAGGAGCAGGCGCAGGCTCAGACCCAGAGGGAGCAGGAGCTGGGGAGCCAAGGGCCAAGGCTGGCCGAGTTAGAGCAGAGGTACGCCGAGTTGGTGGAGAGCTCTCGATTCGAACGGGAAAAACTGGTGGACATCCAGCAGCAGCTGACGGGCAGCTTGAGGGCTCTGGAAGAGGAACACCAAGAGGCTCAGGGGCAAGTCTGCTGCCTTAAGGAAGAGCTGGACAGGCTGCGGGCCCGGCTGGACAAGGAAGTGGAAGGCAGCAGTCAGGTGTTGCAAGCTGCCGAGGAACACAAAGCCACGGCGGAGTGTCTCAGACTGGAGAACAGCAGGCTCAAGGCGCAGGTGGACATAGAGAGGCAGAAGGTCGGTGAGCTGAAAGCCATGCAGAGCGCCAGTGACAGCACCGAGCTACAGAACATGCTAAAGATGGCCCACTCTGAAAGGGACAAGCTGGAGGTGGAGCTGACCGAGCTGAGACAGGAGCTGCTGAAGGCCCAGGCTGAGACTGAGCATGTGCGAGCCACAGTGTCAAAGGTAGGGAGAAAGACGTTTTCACACCGACTTGGGTTGGATTTGTTTTTTCAAGGATTCAGCATTAAATTACTGTAATAGATGGATGGACACGCATGCACTTTATTAATCCTACCATGAGGAAATTCATGATGTCTCTCAGCAGCAAAGAACAAAATTGCACATTGCAACAACTCATAATAAAACACTATCTAAAATATGAAATACCTAAAAGCATTTGTGTTAATCTTATGCATTTTGGTTAAATATGTTTGGATCCCAAGTAAGACATTTTTAATCATTGAAGCTGTAGGTGTGGTTGGTACCTTTTTGTTTATTATTGATAAACCACCATGTTTGTCGTGGTGCCACAGAACCTGAATATTACCCAAGATATTCAGACTCTGAATAATCGCCATCAAGTCTCAGTGAGTAACCAGTAGAGGTCTGATTTATTTATTTATTTTGAACTTATCTAATCAGAGAGACTGAAATGTAAGATGTAGAATATAAAATTGTTTTAAACGTAATTAAAAAAAAAAAAAGTTATTTAAGTAAATGTAGGAGTGAACGTTTCTGATCAAATGTTCATATACATACTGTTATTGATTTATTGCTTGGCTCTACATTTACGCTGCATTTTCTCCTTTAACTTCTGCCTGGTGACTGAGTCAAGTAAATACAGATGAGCAAACACATTAGTGTTTATGTTCAGTGACATTTATCTTCACTTAAACCGTAATCCTTTGTTTCTAGCTTCTTTGGTTTTCCCCCAAATAAACACAGGAGTGAGTCAGGGCTGGTAATAGCTCTACAGTGTTAGGTGTGTCTCTTTTAGGTCATTATTTTGAGAGGTGACGGAGGTGCCAACAGCATAGTTAGGCTTGTTTACCAGAGTATGATCCTTTGAGTCACACAGCTGTCCTCTGCCAACTGGATGTGAAAATGAGGCGACTCCATAACTTCCCTGACGAGCATCTTAATCTATCACAGCCTCATGGCGATGGCTGTGGAACGTCCCAAGTGGCTACATCATCTACTGGTTTTAGTATCCTGTCCTCATAGAGATGTGGCTCCCAGACAGCCGCAATAATCCTCCTCTGACTTCAATATCTGTAGTAAATAAGATGGTTTTTGTTCTGTTTAGACTTTAATTTGACATGGAAGTGAGAGACTAAAGCAATCTTGAGTAACCTTTAGAAACGACAACACCACAAAATGACTCAGAGTGACTTCAGACGCAGTTTTCATTTAGTGCATTGCACGAGCTCACATAAACAGACAGGCTTTATAAACATTGTGTCCGATCACAGGTGGAGTCCACATGCCAGCAGGTTCAGGAAAAGGCTGAGAAGAGAGAGCAGGAGCTGAGCGACCGGGTGACGTCCCTGGAGGAAGCCGGAGTTCAAGCGGAGAACCAGGTGAAGGAAATGAAGGAGACCATCTTTGAGCTGGAGGACCAGGTGGAGCAGCAGAGGGCAGTCAACTGTCATACCAACCAGGCAGTCCTGGACATGGAAAGTATGTACTGATCTCAGGTTTGTTAGTTCTGCACTGTTGCATGGCATCTGAACTGAAGCTAGCCTCAAAATAAAAAAAGAAAATGAGAGACTATATATTAGGGCTGGGCATTTATCATATAGTTTATTATTTATCCCAATAGATTTCTCAGTATACACAATAAAACAAAATAAAGTTTTGTTTTATTGTTGTGACAATAAAACAAAATAAAGGACATTTAAAACCCTCCAAACCGTCCGTAGTGCAGCTTAGTGATGCAAGTCACACTTTTTGTGGTCATTTTTATTATAAGATTGTAAGACATAATAAAGCAAAGTGCATTTTTTTAAAATATAAAAGCTTGTCGCATTTATGAAGTGTTGTTGCAGTTTATAATACAGTCCAATGTGTGTAGAGCGTTTATTGGCATAAACAGTGTGAGTTTACAGTAAGATAATGATTAATTACTTTTGCTGATGATCCTCATCTCTGGATTTTTGTTCATATTTTATAATCATCTTGGGTGAAAGTTCAATGCTCAATGCACAGTTTACAGAGGGCTCCACCTAATGTAATAGTTATTAGCTGAAACAATCAGAAAGTTGATCTAACTGCCATCAGATGTATCCACTTCAAACATCTTTCATGCTGAAGTGAGTGAATCTTCAGCAGTGTAGACAGAGTGACTGCATATTGTATCATGACACTATTAAAAAAAATCTCTCATCATAATCGCGACACTGAGTAGCATTCGGATGCCTTTTGTTGCACTGGAGTGCATGGGGTGTGAGGTGTTTCTAAGATGCTTTGCTCCTGTCACGGAAAATTTCAACATAGTAAAACTATATTCCAAGTTCCACCATTAAAATGCGAGCCCTATGTGCAATAATGGCAACCGAGATATAAATATTATAAATACTTTGAAAATAGCCATGAAGAAAATCTCTCCACAGTTCCAACAAAAGCTGAAGGTTTACACATAAGTGCAAGATTTACTGCAGGGCTGCAGGATTATTAAAGCTCAGTCTGTCCAGACCGATTCCCTGGAGGTCTCTTTAAACATCCAAGGGAGTGTAAAGTGGAGCACATGTAACGTTGATTAAAAAACGTTAATATTACTGTTATAAATCAGGGCACGTTATATTGGCGCGATAATATTTTTGCAGCGACCGAGACGTACTTTAAGAATAGTTCTGTTATTGGAAGTTTTATTTTTAGAAGAGTTGGCTGCTGTTCCTCTAACGTAATCAAACTGTTCACACACTATAGTAGTGACTGCTACTGCGGTATGTATGTTTAGTTTGTTATGCTGTTTTTTTTTTAAATATCTGAACTTTGCTGTTGCAGATCTTGTCAAAAAGATTGAGGAGCAGAAGGGCGAAGCAGAGCGACAGCTGAAGGTTTTGAATCGACAGATGAAGGTGAGAAATGTTTGACACGCCGTTCTGCTTGGGTTCAAAAGTTCAACTGATTGCTGTTTGCTGCTCCAGTTTGGATCCGTTTGGATGATACAAGTCATAAAGTACTTCACCGTATTTCAATGAAGAGTGATATCTTTGGATATTCAAATGCGTTACATATACAACATCTCTTTTTTCCTTGATTTCTGATTTTCTTCTACTTAAAAGAGGGAATCAACCAAACCGTTCTGCCTTCTTTAGGAAATGTGTATTTCACAATTATCACATAATATAAAGGCATGGAGTTTATACATGTGCCAACAATTCATGAATATCATCTAAAAGTAAATGGGTCGTATCTGATATTCACCTCAATTCATTTGGTCAGTTAGACCTGACAAGATGCCAAAAGTCGCTGGAAGTGAAGGAAACGCTGTGAGAACAGACAGAAAAGACAGAGGGCTGAGAAACAATGGGGTTAATCAAAACTCATCCTGTCACAGTTGCATGTTTTCCTTGAATCATTTAGCCCACAAAACATTTTAGTTCTTAATGTTTTGCGTAAATATCAGACGCATAAAATAGTGCGACACTGACACAATCTTTTGGAAATGACTGTTCCAAAGAAATACAGTTTTTGGGGTCACTTTGAGGTCAGGATGATTTCCTTTGGATTGTTTTTTCCTCTCTTGCCTTCATGCCAAAACAAATCTTTCCACTGAGCTCTGTTCAGACAGCATTGTGTCGCATGTTAGCAGCGTTTTCCAATTCTTTTTCCAAGTTTAGGTGCCGAGTACCGTTTCTGAAAGAAGTGAGCTGTTGACAATATTTCGAGATGCAACAATGAGAGATTTTATCACATTTTTAAGAACCAATGCATATTTTACCTTATTTCTAAAGTTCTAGAAGAAGTAGAATTAACAACATTGACATTTTTTCTAGCCTTCCTGCTATGAACGAGAAGACAGCTTACCTTGCTTGAGAGAGATTAATGTGAACATCCCAACTAAAATTTCCAAAAATCTGTCAACATTTCCAAATCTATCATGACCCCTAAAAGAGGGAGGTTAAAAGTTTAAAAGAATTAAATAGAACAAATTTTTCTGTAATAATGTTCAGCCTTCCTGGAACCTGCAAAAGCCAGCTATGATGCAACGTCCCAGTAGATGGTTTGGATTTATATCTGGTTTTCATGCCCAAAAAATGTGCAAAAGGAAGAAGGTCAGTGTGACACAAATGAACAACTTTTAGCAGCCTGAGCAGCTGACGAGCAGATCTTGATAAAACATGGGTGGAGAGGAAATAATCGCATGCAGCTGATTGTCGGACGGTTTTTGCCGATCAACTGTAAACTGCTGGAGACTAAAGTATTGCAAAATGTTATAAGTAATGTAAATTGAATGCACACACTCTTATTGTTACATTTTGTCTTAAAAATTATGAAATAAGCAGATGAATGGTGTTTTATCCTCATGTGAAAGGATTGTGTTGGTTTTGTGTTTCCTTTCAGGGTTTTGTTTTGCTCAGTCCTGACATAAAAAAACACAACAGTTCAGATTATACCTACAGATAGCAGAAGGTCTATCGCAATAATTAACTGATACAAAAGGATTGTCTATGACAAAAAAAATCTGTCATGTCTTAACATATCAGTGTGCAACATTAATGGCTGTCCCGCAACATGTGCAGGAGATGTTTCAGGTGTTTGTCAGGCACTATAACAGAGCGATGTTTCCAAATGAAACTTTACACCGCGTTCCAAATTATTATTCAAGTGATATTTTCTCAGATTTTCTTAAATGCAATGCAAATGATGGCCAGTGAAATTTTGAAGTCATAAACTATTACAGTATGAATAAAATTTTACTGAACAAAAGTTCAGTAAAAACTGAACTTTTTTACTGAAAAAAGTTAAAAAGTTCATACATGAGAACAGTATTTTTTTTCAACAATAAAAAACTCAAAATGCATTGTTCCAAATTATTATGTACAGCAGATTTTCTAAACATTTTTTGGATTACAAAGAACTGCAAAGGGTCATTCTTTGAATGTGCAGCATTAATTGGCCACATGTACTAAAATCAAAAGCTTTTTCAATCAAAATCATCTCAACAGACAGAGCTACATGTAACATGGGACCCCTTCTTTGATATCACCTGCACAATTCTTGCATCCATTGAACTTGTGAGTTTGTGGAAAGTTTCTGCTTGAATTTCTTTGCATGATGTCAGAAAACCTTCCCAGAGCTGCTGTTTTGATATGAACTGCATTCCACCTCAGATCTTCTGCTTGAGGAAACAAGTGTGATGCTCTGAGGCATCACACTGGTCAGAGTCAGTTTAGAAGAAAATCGGCCCATTCTGGTCGCCAGCTATTTTCAGTGCAGCTTTTTATTTTAAAATGTGATGTGAAATTGTGACAACAGCTAAAGTTGAGCTTTTCTTCTTGTGGAAAGTGCTTCAGACCTAAACTACAGCCAAGCAAATGAAACAAACATAAACATATACAGCATTTCTATTTCCAGATTGGAAGAATCATTGCTTTTTTTATTTTCATCTTTCATGTCAGATTCTGTGTTATGCGGATGCGACAATCATTTATGATTCCTGCAAAAAGATCCAGGCAGAATCCTGATTGATCCTTCATGCACAATTCATGATAAAAACCCAAAGGGTTTATAATCCTGTTTAATCAGCCAAGCATGGCAGCCTCAGACCTTTAAAATCCTGAGATTCATCTCTTTTCCAGGTTGTTTAAAATAGTCTTGGCAGCTGCATTTAAGCCAGCCTTTATTATAGAAAGACATTTTTTCATGCATTTAGAGACTCTAAGGAATCATTCATACCATTTTTAACATACTGTCAATAAGCATATCCTTTTATTTTTAGGCTTCAGTTTTGGAGCGCTTACTAGCGATCAGTGACTCGCAAATGCATTTTTTTGAATTTTATTTGCCCCCTGTGTTGTTTCTTGAAAATTTGCATGAATTAACTGCTGTGCCTCAACCTGTGCTGATCCATGTGCTTATGTATTTAGGAGGAGAGAGAGGAGTGGCGGCGCTTTCAGGCAGACCTCCAGACAGCGGTGGTGGTGGCCAACGACATCAAAGTGGAGGCTCAGCAGGAGCTGCGCACTCTCAGGAGGCAGCTGCAGGAGGAGCAGGACCGCAGCGCGAAGCTTTCTGCAGACCTGCAGGCCATGCAGGGAGTCAGGTACTATCCACTGTTTCCATCCCCCTCACACCCACCCAGCCATCTCCTTCCAGCCCCCTCAGGCACCAGGCTGCAGTTCCTTTCTCTCTGAACATACCAGGATGTGACATACCTACCAGAGTCCTGCCAGATCTCTGCGCAGCAACAATCTTTAGACAGGTGGCCCAAATGATCCCAAACGTAAAAGAAACTCTTGCTCTAGAGGTTCCCAAATTTCCTGTTTGATCTTAAGAGAGGATATGTTTCCATCGGAGGCATAATTAAGAGCTTCAGAGTTCCTGGGATTTGGCAGACTCTGTAGGTCAATGAGCCATCTCCTGCAGTTTTATTTTCCCTCTGTATTTTTTACTCCTTTTAAAGCTGCTGCCCTTTCTGTTTCCCTCTTCAACATGTATTATGACCTGTGGCAAACATTCCAATTTCACACTTGAAACACATTTCATGTGTGTTGTGGTAGTTGTAATCAAAAACAGATTTTGCACCAGTTTACTTCTATTAACACAATGAAAGCTTTGCCGTTTTATTATGGGCATATTTAAAGTGCCAAATTAATTTACCTTTTCACATTTTGGCACACTAAAGCCAAAAATCTCAATTCATCTTGTTTGGTGTCATGTGTTGGATCACATGTGTCAAACTCAAGGTCTACGGGCCAAATCTGGGCCGTCATGGCTATTTATATGGCCCTCAAGGCCCTGGAGGTCCAAATAAACAGAACTTCAAGATAAGTTAGGTGCTTAAATGTTACTGATTTAGTTAAATCAGTTTTTATTTATATATTTCCAAATTACGTGAGTGTGAAAATATTTCTGATATTTGATTTTATAAAGTTTTCATTGAATACAGAAAAAGCTATACTACTTTTAGTTCTTCAATAGATCAATTTGTTGCACTTTAATTTATTCTGCCACAACTGGCTCTTTGGGGACATCCATGATCTTGGTCTGGCCTAAAATGGAAATGAGTTTGACACCTAGTGCAAAAATCTGAATGAATATGATAAAATGATTTTATAAAAATAAAAATAAAAATCCTACACTTAAAAATCTGGAAATAACTTTTTTTTCTGTATTTGTACTGCATTAAGTGACATTTCAGAGGACTTTATTTATGAATTAGGTCACTTTTGAAGGCAGTTGGTTGGACAAAGAGTACCGCAGTGAAGTAGAATACATACCACATTCTGCATATTTGTATAAAATATTTCAAAACTATTCACTTAAAAATTAAAAGCTACTTTTTGCTGGCCTAGCTTCCCAAATCCCATTTAAATATGTTGAAGTTGTTGTAGAACAACAAAAGGCAACAAGGTACAAAAATAGTTTTTAAAGCCACTTAAAAATGAGGATAGCTGTGGTTTATGTGTGATTTAGTCCTAAAAATCCAAATGATAAAAACTAAATGGTGGTTTGCTATAACATTATCATCACTCCAGATGAAATACTTCTTTGTTAAAATAGATTATTATTCTAAGCACTTGAGCATGCGTAAAATTATATTTAAAAGGAAAACAACTGCTTTAGCGCGAGATACGGATCAGTACCCGTGTGTTCAGTAGCCGGTACTAGACCGCGTCTCAATCACCAAACTTTCCCCAAGAAAAGCCGTTGTGCTGCGTCCGCTCCCCTCCTCCATCAGCTGATGTCTCTGTTAAAGACGTCCGTCAGACGAGCCTGAAGTCCAGGTGAGTTCTCAGCCAGCCTGCCGCTCCTCGCCTTGTGTGCTGCCGACGCTCACTGACCTTCCTCTCTGTGTTTGGCTTCATGCTGCTTCTTCAGCCTGTCTGACTCTGTCTGCTTCTCCATACGCTGGCTGACTGCACCTTTAGGGCTACCACTCCCTCCCGGTTTGCTCTTTAAACCTGTGGATCGGTTAGATTGTATCTGGTGCCACCTGCTGTTGTTTTCGATGAATAACACCCCTACTTTTTTCTGTTTTATTTTAATTTTTTTGATGGAAAAAGCAGGATGATGATGGCTGCACTGGCATGACTTGGACTGAACTCATGCTGTTTTTAACGACACAGATACATATCCATAGCATCTCCATCACAGGGTGATCTGGCTGTATGAGTGTTTTAATCTTATGAAGTGTGCATGGAAGAGTTGAGGAAAAACATGCCCAGAGGTTCTGGCTTTTTAAATGACGTGAAGAAGCAACCGTGTTTTTAAAAAAAGTAGACCTTCTACATCATTCATTTTTAATGTTCTTATCTTTTTCTTTTCAGAATCGGCACTGGAGCCACTTTTGACACCAAGACGGCAGTGGAAGGACACTAGAGAGTGACCCTCATCTCAGCACCATGTGAAGACAGTGTTATTGTTGCACTTCTGTTTTGTGGAAACCAGCTTTGTGTTGACTCACTGTGCAGAAGGACGTTCAGGCCTTCATGGTTTCATTTTTCTCTATACAGCTAAAATATTTTTGGGGACTTTTTAAATGAGAGTACTCTATTTTATTTTCTCACTGAATGTTCTCGTTCTGTCTGGACCGTTGGGTTCTTGTGCTGTGGTCGACTTTTTTGTGCCTTTGAGAAATCGGAGATGATGGAATGGTGAATGCTTTCGGTTTGGCAGAGATGAGGATTTCTATCACTGAATTTGCAACATTGGGGAAACGGCTAAATCTTGCTTTTAAATGCAAAAGCAAGGAGATAAAATAATAAAAACAATTTTTTAATATTTCCACATCCCTTTAGGAAAAATATAGAAGCACTGCTGTTAGAGGATGTTCAGTCTGTTTTGCCTTTTGAGGGCAAAATAGAAAACATGATGCATTATATGCAGTATAGCACAACGTTGTCTAAATGAACCATTCATTCCTGGTTGCACCTTACATAATATTAGCTTGTGAATTTCTGGAACGAACCATTAAGTTTTGGAGCAGATGAACTGTGACGTCGCAGCGCTGCGAGCAGAGAGAATCAGTGCAGCGGTGGTCGGCTTTCTGCCAGGGCTGCAGGTTTGCGCCGACAGTGCAAAACACCAGAACTACCGTATTTTCCCTGCGCTTTGAACAATGCGGGTTATAGTCCGCATTGTTCTGTGGATTTTTCTTCGACCACCAGGTCTACAGCAAGAAGTGAATCATTGGAAGACAAAATTGGAAATCAAAGAAAAAAGTGGTGATATTCATTTAGAACAAGCACATCCTAGCAGCAGGAGAAACGTCTTGAAACAGCTTTTAAGGTGAGATACCAGCGGCTTATATTTGTACGTTTCCAGTGGTTTTTCTTTTTCAAAAAATGTGTAGGTGTGGCTTATATGGTGCACTGTATAGTCCGGAAAATGCGGTACGTAATATTAGTTTGTGATTTGAATTTTATCCTTCTTTAGGTTTTAAAATAAATAAAGTAAGTTCAGGTGTGGCTGCTGGATTACATGTTTTGACTGTATCACCAAAACCCAAAAGTTTGAAACTATAAGGTGCTAGAATGTAGTAATATTTATAAGCAAAGAGGAATAATCTGAGTCTTTATCATTATGTTTGGCCCAGAAATGAATTTCAATAAGACATAATGAAGTAGCTGGATATCTATGAAAGGTATATTTCATAGATGTATATTTGAGTCCATCTGATCCAGACTGAACATCCTCCATCCAGGAGCTTTAAGGATCTCTTGTTTTTTTTTTTGTTTGTTTTGCTCCTCATATCTTCTTGTTACTGTTTTTGTATAAAATCACTGACAGCTTCTTGGTCTTTCTTCTGCTGTGCAAATGGAGTGCAATTAATTTTTCTAGCCGTAAGATGGCGCTGTGCTATAAGGTGCTAGAATGTAGTAATATTTGTTCACATATATCACATATTGAAGCTTAATCAGGCATCTCAGCTTCAAGGTCTCCCATGTTTTACAGTTGTGTATTTTTTGTTGGTAGAATTATTTTTGCATGCAGATGTCATGATGTCATGCTGCCAATATTAGGTGCAACCGTTAACGGCGAACTTCTGGACCAATCAACTGTCTTAAAATGCAAATTTTAAGACGTAGACCAATAAAACTGTGTTCCCGAAATATTTACATCACTTTCAGATATTTATATTCTATTTTTCCGTTTTTGTTTTTTTTTGTTTGTTTGTTTTTTTTTGCAAAATCAGAATTTAATATATTAACCACACGGACCTTTTCTAACCTTTAGCAGATTCCAGTAAATTACAAGCTTTACATGTTTATATGTAAATATTTTCCTCACCTTTGGTGTGAATTCTTATATCACATTCCAGAATCACACTGACAGTGAGTGTGAAATGTGAGGTCCTTTCTACAACCCAACTTTAAAAAAAAGCCATATTATCCAAGCCGAGCGAATGGTACTGGTGCTCAAGTAAGTCAGGTTATATAAAAAAAGATTAAATGTTTGGAAAAAATCTTTTTATGAGGCCGAGCATTCCTGTCCATATTGTGATAACTTATTTTGCCGAGGAAAGACTCGGCTGTTTTTTTTGTTTTTTTCTGTATGTGAAGTTCTACGTAAATGTTTGACTGTTGTTCATTAGGTGAATAAATAAACAAAATGTTTCCAGCCCCGTGGATTTTATTTACGCATCTAACTGGACTGTAGGCTCATTATGTGTGTTTTCTTCACCTATCAGAATCAATGGGGGAATGGGGAAGAAGGTTTTATACAGATCTGAACTAATGTACGCCACAGAGCGGATCAGTCACAGCATTCTGATCCAAATCCAAGTTGGAATCTGTGGATCTCAAGTTATTTTTTTTTCTTTTATAAAGGGAAAAACCATGAAGAATTTTCAAGTTTTGTGGCGTTTTAATGCTCTTATATCACCAATAAAGTTAGAGCATTTTTATTTCAGAGCATTCATTTCTACTCATCAGGATGCATCAGGACCAACATGGAAGATTTGGGATCAGAAACAGATTACATCCCCTCCCCTTTCCACCACCATTACCAATATGTTTTGCTCGAGTCTATGCAGAAATTGTGTTTATTGTGTCTGCCAGGTCCCAAGGTGATGATGATGGGCGAGCGTTGGACTCCGACGGCGGCAGCAGCCAATGGTGCGGCATCTCCGTGATCCCCGGCACGTCGCCCGCCGACGCCAGCGAAGACGCCGGCTCGGAGCCCGGAGCGACCGTCAAATCCCTCATTAAGTCCTTTGACACTGTTGGGCAGAGTGAGCGCTGAGCACACAGACACAAGCAGGCGTCACATCAGTGTAGCTGTAGAGGAGAACAGCTGATGAGCCGCCGTGGTCTCCAGCGTTCCTGTCTGTCGTTTCTCAGCTCGTCAGGTCTGGGCCGGCTCTGGGAAGTCTGGGTGACAGATGATGGGGGGTGGAGGTGGTTCTGGTTCAGGAAAAACATTTAACAGCAACTTGAGATGAGCTGCAAGTCTGGGACTGATTGGCTGTTCAGTAAATGCTTTAAATTACTTTATTTATAGCTCATACTAAAAAGTCTGGTTTATACACGGCAGAACAAATACAGAAGCGGTCCTTTTGGTAAATTCTCCCACATGAGCTGTGCTTCTCTGCAGCTCCTCCAGAGCTACCATGGATCTCCTACTCATAAAGAACATTTTCTGGGGTTTTACCAGTTGCAGATTTTGGAGTCAATGGCGGTCCCTTACATGTGCAAAACGTATGGTTTTATTTCTAACATAACTCTGTTTTAAACATCTCCGCATCTTTCTCCCTGATCTGTTCTTTAATCTTAATGTGGCTCTTTATTCACTGTTTTCACTGATTTGTTTTGCTATTAATATACCAAACATAAGCTGTGACATCACAGCTTTAATAAAAATATTTAAAAAAACCTCACACACTCTGACCTTGATTGTGGATATTACAGATGGTCCATGTCATGCAGTTCCGGTGCTTTCCACCCCGAGAAACCCTTTGAGTGGGATCCCTGTGCGCTCTGCACCAGCTGCAGCCGTCTCCCCCATCCAGGTTCTTAAAACCTTCATCCAAAAATCACATATGTGATGGAAGGGAGCTTGTTTCAGAGTTCTTTTTTGTCTTTCTTTATTTTAGAGACATTCCTACGTGAAGCCACTATCAAAGACGCTGGAAAAAAGAATAAATCATGGAGAGTTTGCTCATTCTCGTGGTATGTAACACTCAATCTTATGTGATCTGCTGTTCCATATTTGATCAGTTGCTGCATGACAACGATCTGTGTCTCCACAAAAAATATGGAATTGAGGCCCCTGTTCACTTTTGCCAAGTGTGGCGAAGGTCTTCACCGGACTGTGGGTTATGTACTGTTAAATTCTGGGTGAAAATATTTCGACACAACCAGCTTCTTCAGCTGTGACCTTCCACTAAAGGCTCTGACCAAACCAGAATTGCATTTTGACCTTCCGCTGGTCTGTGGTCAGAGTGAAAGACGACATGCAAACAGCAAGCAGACAAAAAATAAATCCAGTCAGCCAGCATTGTCCTCGCCCAGAGAGCCGACCATCAGATTTTGTTGCGTCCTGGTGAAATTTACATGTTCATTCAAATTCCTTTGGCTCTCACTGATCAAATGGTCATTTTATAGGCAAAGTTCTGCTGATTCAATATCCTCAATGAAAAGTACAACAAATACAGACAACCAAACATTTGACTTCTGCTGGTTTCTCACTGACTTTCGCCACTTCCGTCTAGAAAAAAGCGTTTAAATGCAACTCTGGAAATGCTCTTAAATGTGTCCTGGTTGATTTGTGTCCCAAGCCTCCCCTGAGGAGCTGCTGTAGGAACATAGTTTCCTGACTGGAAGCAAACTTTTCCAGGATACGCTCTGTTTTTCGACTCTTTTGTCACATTCTTCTGCATCCACATCCGTCTCTCGCATCCTTTTGATTCCGCAGATAAGTTGTCGGGTTTCGGCGAGGACCTGAAACCAAACAGCCTCATGAGAAAGAGCCCGTCACTGGAGAGTGTGATCAAAAGCCCCATTTCCCTCAGCAGCCGCACCGCATCGTTCAGCTACAGCCGAGGAAGCAGCAAACTCAGGTATCGCCGTTTGGATCTAAAGATGAGCTCAGAGACACGGGAGCAGAAAAGCATCAAAACAAATTCAGCTTCTTTCCTCACTTTAAAAATGTTTGAAGCATCCAACTTGATTGCACTTATTTGGTGAAAACTCTTTTTTTTATTCATTTTTAATTTTTTTTCAAAAACACCAGAACTAAATTTATTGGCATCCCAACATTTCTGTAAAAATAAATGACTGGTGTACTTTTTTCTAATTCCTTTTTTCCTATTAAAGTGGATCAAAGTCACAAATCATTTGCATTCATGACTTTCTTGGATATAAATATTATATGACACATTGGCCTTTTTCTCTTAACCACTCTTCAAATTGGAAAAGACATTAAAGCATGCCATTTACAGACTAGACGTGTACTTGTGGAAAAGGCTTAAAGCAAATGGCTACTTGCCGAGAGTTTGGGTTAAAACGTCTAAAATAGCTGCAACTGCATCAGTATGTTTTGGACAACGACTCGGACGAGATAATTTTGCAAAAATCTCTGCAGGCGGCGCGCTGATCGAATGTTATCGCAGAAATATCTGTTCCTGTTCGTCAGGCAAATTAAAAGCAAATCCTTGCAACTGGGATTTCCCCCCCCCAACTGAATAAATGTAGTTTTCACACACAAAAAAAAGTTCAGTGGAATGAAAGATCAATTTTTTTAAAGTTAAAAATAAAACATTTTTTTAATGTTTTATTTCTCACACAATTATCTCACAATTATTTTGCCAATGATTGTGAGAGATCCTGTTTAACTAAACTGTGATCTGCAGTGTCTCCTGCAGTTGTGTGCCAACCCATTTGGTTGTTTTCAAATGGATGTTTTCTTTTTGCCAATTTCAGAACATTTTTTCCCTTAATCACTATTATTATTATTATTTCCTCCATGAATCATCAAAAGTAAAACTCCGTCACTCCAGCAACTGGATATCCTTGAGTTACATTAATAGATGTACTTTTCTGTGTTACAGTCAGGCAGTAAAGTTGGTTAAAACTACCAACTGTTTGGCCCATATGAAGGAGAACGCTGTCTTCTACTAAAACTCAGCCAACATTACGAAACTCTGGCTGCAAACACACAAAGGCCTGCCAGTCCAAATCTGATATTATTGCATTGCTAAACTCTGCATTCAGTGTCACAGAGATCAGCTGCGTCTGTTACTATGTTTAGGATGTTTAGGGTTATGTGAGAACTGCTGCGTTATTGATGATGAATGCAAATACTTGCCAATTCTGGAGTGATTTAAAATGGCAAAAGACATGTCCGCTTCTAGCATTGCACGGCCTGAAATAATGAACTCAACAGCAGCGCTGCAGTGACGTGTGAAATGTTTAGCATGCTGAGTGGAACAACTCTCATGTTCTTCCCATGGCCTCCAACCCCAGGGAGCAAGTCCCTAGAATAATATTACAGATAGACGTTAAATCCATCCGTCATGCATAGGATTTCTTTCCTTACAGCTTTACAACTGTGCACGTTGTGCATGATGTCTGGAAACATTCGATTGTGGGACCGTAGAGTCGTGGGGGGGCAGGCGGTGAAATGGGCCTCCACTCTGCGATGAGATGGCTGCCGGCCCAAGTAAACGTGGCTCCGCTCTGAACTCCAAAACAAATAAACGAAACTACAAAGAAGCTCCGGAATCATTATGATAGTGCAAGATAAGATAATTCCCTCCAGTAATGAAAAATTGCAAATCAGAGGAGCTTTATTTTGAACCCTAATTTTCCCGTCTCAGTTTCTCCTAGCATTCTTTTCCATTTTCTGGACATATAAGAAGTTTAGCTGCCTTTTCAGTAAAATGTTTGTATTAAAGCGAATCTTTCTTTAAAAACTCTCTTAAATTACACTTATGTCTCTCAGTATCACTGATAATCAACAGAACCACTCAGATCTTCCAGGTTACAGAAACAGAACCTATGAGAAAAGTTGGAACATCTCATTTTCTCGACGACAGACGATCTCTCTGTCGTCATTTTGCTTTAGTTTTATACCAGGCATTCAGAAGACGTATCAAATTTCTGTTAGAATACATTTGCATTTGTTTTCCTGCAGCTCTGAGCTTTGCATTTCATCTAAATAATATAGTTAATGTGCTTTAGTTAAGTTTGAAATTATATGTTTTAAAAAAAGACAATCAATTTTGCTGTTGCATAAAAATGTTTAACCATGTGATCTTTTACTTTTCTGGTCCAAACAGAACTTTGAAAAGGAGAAACAAAAGTCATCAAGTCGTTCTATCAGAAAACTAAGATTCAGATGTTTTGTTTTTGAATTAGCCCACAAACACAAAATTAGTTTGAACAATGCATTCTTTGTGAGGACGGGCGTTGCTCTAATCCGTCATAATTTTAGCTGTCTGACCAGCGATGATTAGCAAGTTTCCTCCACGTTCACACAAATAATTGTGTGGGAGTGGGGGGTGAAAGGGGGGCAGTAGAGGAACTGAACTAGATATCGCACAAGTTGTACTCCAGATGACATCTCTCCTTTCTCCCTCTCCTCTGATTGCGGCCCGCGATCCCTTGGTGACAGCGTGGAAAGAACGGACCCCTTGGCCGCTCTGGCGCGGGAGTACGGAGGATCTAAGAGAAACGCTCTACTGAAGTGGTGCCAGAAGAAAACAGAAGGCTATCCGGTAGGGATCACAGGCCACAGACCACTCTCAAACATGAGACGTGCTCCACACACTTTCACGCCCAGCTCTGCTTCACGTCGACATCTGACGGTTTGATTTTTAGCCTTCACGCCCCTGGTTTTTATTAAAAAAGTGAGCCAACGCCTCGCATTCGCTGCTTTATATTGCGTGACACGATGTTGATTATTCTGACCCCAGGTACTGAGGTCAGTCTTTATTAGTTTCATTTTTTTTAACCATTGCTGGGTTAAACAACTGTTGACCAACCATTTAGCTAACTGGCATCTCACTGGTATGACTGGGTTTATACCTGTGTTTTCAGACGGCTTTGGATTATTATTTTTTTACTTTGCAAAAAAAAAAAAAAAAAAAAAAATGGAAGGGGAAAAAACATAGTTCTATTTAATTTTTTCAAAATAATTTGAGAAGTATGGCATTTATTCGTATTTAGTATTATTTCCTCTGATAACCTTAAAAAGAATCACAGTGAACCAAGACCAAATACACATTATACAGGGTTGAGATGCTTGAAATCCTTGAATTTCACTTCGGTGTTTTCAAGGCTTGGAAAGTTCTTGACTTCGGCATTATGAGAAATCAACATAATCATACAATATATTTTATTATTATTACGTTAATTTATTGTTATTTTTAAAAAACCTCAAGTTATTTTCCTTCTTCTAAGGAACACAAATCATGAACTCATTAGTGTTGTTTTTTTAATGATATAAATAGTCATGCAATACTTCAACATTTCTGGTTGTAATGGTTCCACAAATGATGGAATAAATATTTCTTAGGCCACAGAGCAAAGTGCTGACATTAACCAAGCCAAGTTTCTCCCCTAATAGCCAGTTTAAGGAACCCATTATGCCCAGTGGGATTACAGATTAGCCAGTATAATCACTGGGCTAAAACATTTTTCATGCACGCAGAGGGGCTGCAGTCTGTGGAAGGAAAGGAACGATTACAACCCTGTGTGCATCCCGACAAATCCTTAAAAATACACCAAAGCCTTTATTTTTTTTTCTTCTTAAAATCAATAGTTTCATGTGACTTTTCCATAGAAAGATTCACAAGTTCTAAATATAGATTGAACTTTTACAGCGAGCGATTGAGTTATTGAGTTAACGCATCGATAGTTCTTATTTCTAGAGAACAATGCCACTGAACTTTGAGCCTCAACTCGGAGACTTTATGGTCACAGTTTCCACTGTTGGGTGGATAAAACCAGTGACTTTTAGACACAATCAGTGGTTTGAGCAGCTTTTAAAGGTTTGCTGAGAAATGCATTAATTATAAATGTTATAATTTCTATGGTAAATGAAAGTTGACATCCATCCGCTTTCCTAACCACGGAGGAACAGCATGCCCACAGCATGATGCTTCCACCAACAGTTTGTATCGTACGTTTGTGTTCAGTGGGGTTTGTTGCAGCTCTTTTGTCGTCAGTCAGGTTTTGCTGACCAGCTTATATCCTGGGAATCTGTTGGCAGCTTTTTCTTTCTGTCAAATCCAAGTGCTGCGGTTGACTTTAGGATTACAAACGACTCTTCCTGCTGCATCACTATCAACATTTAGGGGCTTTGTTGTCTTTTTGCCTCCTTTTCCTTGTTCAGAAGAGCTGTAAAGTATTTGAGGTGCTCTGGCTAAGGGACACATGATTCGCAAATGTTTTTTCTCCTGGTGATTTCTGCTCAGCGTCGTAAATTTCAAACTGACAGTCATTGAAATTATTTGTGCTGAATATGGTTAAAATAAATTTAACAGCTTTAACAGTTTTTTCTGTTCTGAAGTAGTTTTTCTTTTCCTTTTAAACACAGAAACGGGAACAACTTAGAAATCTGCCAAGTAATTTAATTTGCAGAGTGAACTCTATAATTTGACGTGTATGCTGAGTTATTTATCAGTGTGTGTGGAGAAAGAATGGAAAATGCTTGCCGCCCACTGAAGATTTTTACTCGTGAAGCATTTTATGTTCATCATTTTCATTCCTCTTCACAATTACGCGGCGCCTCCCATGTAGTCCCAGTGAAAGTTCAGTTAAGGACGGATGAGTTGAGCAACATAAACTCTTCACTGATCCCTTCACAAAGGGCGATTATTTGCAAATGTCAGGAATGCATTAAGTAGATTTGTTTCAAGCTGTGGCGTAATCAGTTCCTTTCTGGATTCGGATGGTTCTCCATTGTTGTTTGGATGTTTCTTCCAAGCACCAAGCGCCCGCTCTGCCATTGGGTTTCTCAGCGCACGGCGAGGCGGTTAACTCGTTCACGGTCGCCTCGCTTGAGCTGCGATGAAAAGTCTCGACACTGTGCAGTGAGATCAATACGCGGCGCAGCTCTCTGTGCTTCAGTCAGAAAAACAAAAGTAAAGCCACTAATACGTGACAACTAGAACAATTAGCAGAGATTTCCAGGAGATTTTTTACGTCCTCCTGCTGAACTGGAGGCTTTCCAGAGGGATTTCTTTTTCTGTTGATGCAAAGATAAATGCTGTGTGTTTGTGGGCCTGCTGTTTTTGAAAGTGACTCTAGTTTCTTAGAAAACGTAACCACAAGATCCTGTTTGAGTCTCATGCCAGGCTGTGAGAAAAGGTCACAGTCAGAGGATGTGTTGAGCTTCACATATGTGGGGGAAGGTCACGGCGCTGCAGGCCTCCACCCATTTGGACCTGTGGTTCCAGTCAGAACGAGCAGAGAGCCTGTGACTTGGTCAGTTTGGGCAAATACTCATCTACAGAGGAAATGGTCATATTTCTTTCTTTCTGTCAGGCTAGCGCTCAGCTCTGATCGAGGCTAATAAACTTTAGCTTTAGCTGCAGATATGACCTCATTTATTGGCATCTTTTAAGATGTGTGAAAAAAACTTTTACTTTTTTTTTCATGCATGCAGTAAATCACAGCCTCTGTAGTTTTAGCAAAAATAGAAGGTGCACTTATCACCTTTCACACTCCATGTAAATATAATTGTAGCATTTTGTTTTCAAACTATAGCAGGGCTAATCAACCGATTACTCTAACAATTAACTGATTAATTAGATTTTTTAAACATTGGAACATTCTGGATATTTTTAATTTAAGCATGTCTTTCTAAAACAATGTTAGAATTACACTAAAAGTAATTCTAACATAAAACAATTCAAATCCTTTATCTTAAGTAAAAAATACTTTTGTTTTGCCAAAAAGGAAGCAAAGGATGAATCTGGAGCTGAAAAATTCTGACATCTGATTTTCTCACATTTTCGATGCTTGACTAACGTCATATGGATGGTGGTTGATGTATTAACTCTTTGTTTGGGTTAATAAGTGGATACCAAAAGGAGGATTTAATAGGATTTAAAACATTTTTCGCAGAATTTGAACCAGGTGCAGCTAAAACTTTGAGTAGTTTTAGGTTTTAGCTTAAGCAGCATTAATTTGCTCTTCCCGGAAAATAGCCTTTTTTGAGTCTATTTTCATTTAATCAATTACCAAATTATTTCAACAATCCGCTTGTTGAAATAATCATGATTAATCCAATTAATTGTTTCAGCTGTTTTTTTATGGTATATGTTTATAAATGAATCAGTTTCTAGAAACGTCTAATTAGGAATCCTTTACTTCCTGGTTTCCTGCAGCAGAAATTTAATCTCAGACAGATGCCCGTTTCTTTTCCCCACTGCCTCCATAATTTACCGAGCAACAGGTTAAAAAAAATCATCAGGGCTCATTGTTGGAGAGCAGCAGTGGAGAGTGGCATCTCAGGGTCACAGAGGTCACATTCAAACATACTAAGCATGCCCACTGGCTGTTTGGGATGCGTGGGTAGAGTCTTTTTCTGTCCTGCTGTCCAGCTGCAAACATTTGGACAGATGAGAATCAGACTGAGCGTCTCGTCGACAAACACCCAGGAGGAAACCGAGGGGTGGATATGTGGCTGCTTGCCCACCTTGTGGAGGATCTGGGATGCAGCCGATCTGCTTCTGTGCATGACATCATGAATCCTCTGAAATCATTTCAGAAAACCACGAATGTGTCCTCACAGAGGGAATGATTAGGATTATGTTTTTGTGGGATTTTGTTCTCTGTTTGCACATGGGTGGCGTTGATCGATGCTGCACTTTCTCTTCTTTCTGCCAACAAATTCACGGAAGTTCAAATTCAACGCTAATCAGCATTTTGGGATCTGGGAGCCACATAGATTTATTTGTTCCACATAGGATTTGTTCTCAGACTCTTGGGCCACATAATTAGCAGGCAGGTGAAAGAGGAAGCTTTGGGCCCTTCCTGTCCGGTTCCAGGTGGTTCAGTTAGGACTCCAGCTTATATGGGTCACGATTGTCTGCCACAGACAAAGTCGATGCCAGTTGTTATTACAATCCCTTTGTAGGCAGGAGTCGTCAACCGACTGCCTAATTAAAGTGAAACGGCATCCGGGTGCTATTGTGAGCATTATGGGAGATTATTTGATGGTTTATTGTAGCTGAGAGGATAATATTTCTGTGTGGTTGTAGCTGGACTGAAAGCCTGATGTCATTCTTTGCTTTTTTCTCTGAAATCGATAAGAGGGGGAGTTTGTGTAATCATCGCAAGGAGAGGGCTGTTAGTTGTGTTGCCTATTATGTTTTCAATATTAGGTTAGGCTCTCATTGCTCATCTATAAAAGGGAAACGTCAGTCGCTGTGGTCTCGACTCAGGCGTGTTTACGGATTTGTGGTTTGGTGTCGCCACGTGTTTTCTACACGTGACGACGTCTCTGATGGCTGAGAATGTTTCAGAGAAATGTAAAGAAACATGGTGTGTCTGTGTTGTACATTTGAACATCTTAAATTTTTCTTAAACATGGTTTTTTCTTTCATTAACATTGTTACGACTCGTCTAGGGTTATAACATGAAGGATCGATCCTCTTCAGATCCCAAGCAGCCGACACACACGAAGTTGAGCGTTTTATGTTCATTTTAAAAAAATGTGTTTTTGATGAAGATGTTACAAGTGGAGCATATGGCTTCAGAGTGAGCT